AGAAACAAAATAAAGCGGTTACCAGACGTTTCGTACCACCAAAGTCGATTCGTACCAAGTCAGTTGAGTCGTTTCGCACCCGTACCAAACGCGATTTTCGAAACAAAAGTAGCCTGAAGAGCAACGCAGGACGACTCATTCCTTGTGGAACCCACGAGTTTTCTCATCAGCTGTTCAAAACGTTTTGTTACTTTGATTTGCTTCCCGTCACAAGGAACTATTTGCATAAATTAATGACAAAAATTGGAGTGAAATTTAACAAGAGCTGGGGAGTGATCTTTTTCTTATTTCCTTACTTCTATAAGCCTTTTCCGGGTAGTTTCTAATTTCAATTTCACGCGCCTTGCCATTCAAATCAGCTGTCATGATACTTCAACTTGAAAGGAACTTTTAAATGTTGGTAAGTAGAGAAGGGAATGTGGCTAAGAGTTAGGGTGCATTGAACTGAGCATTGGTATTTATCTTCTATGTACAAACTTCCTCTCCATTAAAAGAAGACATGCTTCTTGTCGTTTAGTCCTGATAAACCTAACAGCTGATCTCACTTGCGACGGAGACGGAGTTGGATTTGTAATCATGAGCAAAGAGCGATACGATCAAGTGAAAATCAAACCGACAGAATCAGAAGAAAAATACCGTTACCACTTACGACTCCGTCGCTTACGATCCTTTGAAGAATAGTCATATATGTAGGCGGAAGACTGTGCTGGAAGGGCCTGGGAACTGGCATGTGATTGGTTGTTTTTTTCCGATTCTGCTCGCGACTGCAAAAATCTAGTTTTCACCACGGAAAAAATGAAACCGTTCTGATTCTTCTGAGTCCCATTCTGTCGAGCTTATGACTCCGCTTATGATTCTGCTTTTCAGTTTTCACTCGCTCCAACTCTGACTACGACTCCGACTCTAACTCCGTCGCCAGTGAAAACCAGCCTTTAGTAGGAGCACTCTTAAGTAGCGACCAAGTAACATGGACAGCAAGAAATGAAGAAGCATGTGTAAAATGGATTGCAAATGGAGAAAACTTAAGGCTATTCCAAGATGTCTAAAACGTGACAAACCTCGCTTTTTGTTTGTAGAGCTTCCCTTTTCCTGTTTTATGTGCCACCCTCAGTTTCCAAAAATATTTTTACGGGCTCTCAATTTTTTATTATGTTCTCCCAACACATTTTTCACTGTCATCTGGGATTGTCGGTGTCAGCTTTCCAGGCACCAGAGACTGTCGAGGATCCAAAGAACCAAACCGTCGTTGCTGGTTTCAACGTAACCTTGAACTGCACCGCCGAAGGTTCTCCCATGCCATCCATCACATGGATAAAGAACAACGATTCACTTGCTATACAGTCCAACCCGAGAATAAAAGACATCGAGACTGTCCTGGACTACAAACAAA